CAGCAGCCATTTGACACTTACGATGTTCAAACACATCTGCAAATACATATGTTCCAGCTGTAAATGATGAAGAAAAAACAACTTTTACCTAGTTGTAATTGTAGAGAATTACTAAGACTAGTTTGCTCGATGTTTTCTATAAATAGGGAGGTATCCATCTAGTGTTATGTATGTAGAAGAAGTGAGAAAAATCTCTCAAAAAATTAGAGAAAGAGTGTGTTGTAGCAACTCCTTTATAATTTCTCAAATTCTGCTTTTGGCCACTTTCTGCTTTCTCCTTCTCCCACCTGTATATTTATACGGATCTCATATTCATATAACAGTAGTGGTTACTTGTGCTTCGGGATTTCATTTACATTGTTATAAATTCTATGCAGTCTTACTCATTTGGTGGTATCTTTATTATTTTATCTTTTTTGTTCTTTTTCTTCTTTCCAGTAAATTGAGTTTCTAGTCTTCTCAGTGCTGCGCAAGTTGTCTGTTTGGAATACAATCGAGATTTATCACCTTTTTTATCTAATGATAAATATCCCTTCTGTGTTTTTTGAATATACATTCGTGCATTTTTTTTAAAATAACAAATATTATCCACCTAAATCTACGTTAATACTACATACATAGCATTTTTACTCTTTAACTTTATTCTTTATACGGTTTAATTTGGTTTATCAAACGCAACTTGATATTGTAATTTATAATAGAACATTTTTACCAGATGACTAAAAATAAATACAAGAAAAACATCAATGTGACATGATGCAAAGCTTCAAGCTTGTTTGATTTTAACATTGTTATTATTGGCCTGTGTATTCATTGCAAGTTTAGTTTTTCTTGCTTTAATATTAATTGACACGTGGCATGATATGTATTGCCACATTTTACTCTGTTTGCTTTTTCTAAAAATCGTATCTTAAAGTATTTTCAAGAGATTTTTTATTTTTAAAGAGTATATTTTATCATTTAAAGGACATCCATAAATTTAGAGAGTAAAAATTTTGAAACTCTCCAGCAGGCTCATATTTAACATTTAATTTTACTACTCGCAAATTTTTTTTTTATCTTTTATTTTAACTAACTTTTCTCTAAATTATTATATTTATTTTTCTGCATTGAAGACTGAAATACTTTAAATGCATTTAATTATAGAGAGCGAGTCGCTAAATTAAAATGTTAATTTAAAGAGTCATTTGGAGTATGACTTTAAATGTTCAATTTTTTAAAATAGAGAGCATCTCTTGTTTAAAGAGCTACTTGGAGATGCTCTTAGTAGATTTTAAAAAAAGTTAATGAAAAATATGATTAAAAAGTTGATAAAAAATTATTGATTCATAAAATACGTAATTAAAATGAGTTTGAGAAAAAATTGAGTTTTAGAAAATGGTCTCAAACATGAATTTTATAAGTTGGAGTCAAGATGTTTATGTCACATTTGTGTTGTGTGTGGACTATGAATGGAATTTTCAGATGATGCACAATTGTTCTTGTTTTCTCTTTTCGACTTTCTCCACAATAAACTACCTTTATGATACAATATTTTAAATTCAATTATGTTAATATATTTTTTTTTCTATTCAATTTTATTTAAGAATTTGAAGATTTTCACAAATTATTTGTATTTTCTTAATCTCTTGATTTTCTAATTAAAAACTTAGGGAGTTGAGCATGTAGAGTGCTAGCGTAAATGTGGGTTGTAAAATTGGAGCTATCTTCTTATCCTCAAAATCTCTACATCATAACACTAAAAATAAGAATTAAAAATAAAATTAAATTGCTTTATTCTTAATCAACACATACTAGCATAGAATATAGGTCTGTTTGACATGATTTTCTTTTGCTTCTATTTATTGTATGTGAGCTTTTTGAGGGAATTACATCAGATCAACTTTCTCAATAAGCTCTTCTAATTAGACAAAATATTTTTAGAAAATTATTTAAATGCGTTCGAAAATAATTTTTTAATTTTAGAAGTAGCTTTTGATTTTTCAACAATCTTGTCATACAGCCCTATGTTTTTTGGTTTACCTTTTGTGGAAGATGCTTCCTTTAATTGAATGTCATTTTTGAGTGTAAAATGAGTTTCATAAAAAGTAATATTCCAATATAAATAGATAATGAAGCTGGCTGTCCCCCACTCTTGACCCTCTCTCTCTCTCTCGGCTCTCTCTTCCACATGCACACACATACCATAAACAACTGTTGGGAGGAGATGGATATATAATGGTTATTAGGTTACTTAATTGGATCAATAATAGTTAAATGGGCTACTTAAGAATCAAGACAAAATGACAATTGGGTCAAGACTTACATATCCATCGACAACAAAATCAACCCCAATTTGGACCTTCAAAAAGTGTCAGTCGTATTTGAGTCGAACTAATCGTATTTGAGTCGAACTAAGTCCATGATGTCTATAAATTATCCCATAACTGTTTTAAATCATCGCTGAAATTTATTGGGTATCAAAACCCAACAGTACTATTTTTCTTATTCGGCTTAAGTTCATCTCATTGCTCCATATAAAGTTAATCTGATTAGCTTAAGAAAGATGGTGCAAATAATTTTTTTTAAATAAAAAATTAAAAAATATTATCCACCTAAATCTATGTTAGCATTTTTACTCTTTAACTTTATTCTTTATCCTGTTTAATTTGGTGTATCAAACGCAACTTGAAATTGTAATTTATAATAGAACATTTTTATCAGATGACTAAATATAAATACAAGAAAAACATCAATGTGACGTGATGCAAAGCTTCAAGCTTGTTTGACTTTAACTAAAATTATATTTTAGAGTATTTTTCAAGATGTTCTTTATTTTTAAAGAATATATTTTATCATTTAGATAGTATTAATAAATTTAGAGAGTAAATATTTTGAAACACTCCAACAGACTCTTTATATTTAACATTTAATCCATCAATTGAATCACTCTTTTGAGAAATACGAGACATCTAAGTCATACAAGTAAAGAGATTTTAATACTTGCAAAAAATATTTATTATTTTTCTCTATTTTTTTTTTATTTTAGCTAACTTTTCTCTATATTATTATATTATTTTTCTACACTGAAAATTGAAATACTTTAAATGAATTTAATTATAGAGAGCAAGTCTCTAAATTAAAATGTTAATTTAAAGAATTTTTTGGAATATGATTTTAAATGTTGACTTTTTAAAATAGAGAGTATTTCTTGTTTAAAGAGTCACTTGGAGATACTCTTAGTAGATTTTAATAAAAGTCGATGAAATGTACAATTAAAAAGTTGATAAAAAATTATTGATCCACAAAATGTGTGATTAAAACGTGTTCGAGAAAAAATTAAAATTTTAGAAAATGGGTATCAAACATTAATTTTATAAGTTGGAGTCAACATGTTTATGTCACATCTCGTCAACTAGAATTGAGCATTAGATTCACATCATCTTTTCTTTTATGGTTCTTTGTGTCGTGTGGTCTATGAATGGAATTTTCAGATGATGCACAATTGCTCTTGTTTTCTCTTTTCGACTTTCTCCGCAATAAACTACCTTTATAATACAGTAATTTAAATTCAATTATGTTAATTTTTTTTTCTAGTCAATTTTATTTAATAACTTGAAGATTTTCACAAATTATTTGTATTTTCTTAATCTCTTGATTTTCTAATTAAAAACTTAGGGAGTTGAGCATGTTGAGTACTAGCGTAAAAATGGGTTGTAAAATTGGAGCTATCTTCTTATTCTCAAAATCTCTACAAAGCACATCGTAACATTAAAAATGAAAATAAAAAATGGATTGCTTTATTCTTCATCAACACATACTAGCATATAATATAGGCCCGTTTGGTATGACTTTTTCTTTTGCTTCTATTTATTGTATATGAGCTTTTTGAGGAAATTACATCAGATCAATTTTCTCAATAAACTCTTCTAATCAGACAAAATATTTTTTGAAAATTATTTAAATATGTTCGAAAATAACTTTTTAATTTTAGAAGTAACTTTTGATTTTTCAAAAATCTTATCATACGAACTATATGTTTTTTGGTTTACCTTTTGTGGAAGATGCTTCCTTGAATTGGAAGTCATTTTTGAGTGTGAAATCAGTTTCATAAAAAGTAATATTCCAATATAAATAGATAATGAAGTGGGTACATTTAATATTATTTTTATTTTTTTGGGAAGGTTTGGGTATACAAGTTGAATACATTCTCACATTTTTTATAGTAAAAACCAATAATCAGTCGTGCTTTATAAAAAAAGATTGAACCCCAACCTTGAGGGCTCTCACCGCCCCGCCCTTAGATCTTTATGAGGGAGGTAAATCGCGGAATGTGCCTCAACAGGTCAGAGAACAAAAACTAGCCGTGCTTTATAAAAAGACAATTAAGTCGTTCTTGGTGATTTAGAGTAGTTGAGCATGAAGTAATTACAAGGATTTTTAATAACAAAAAAATTGCAAAGATTAATCGAACAATTTAAATAAGTAAATAAAATAGTGGAATTTAGGTAGGCTCTTTAACCTTTTAATTAGTGTGGTTTTGAGTTTTGACTTCTCTCGCCCTAAAAGTGAAGTTTTGAATTCTCATTTCTCAATATATTCAAACATGTGATGGAAACCGTCAATGCATGTTAAAATTCCTTGCAACTTCCACGTTCATTTTAACTATGCAAAATCGTCGAAGATTTAACTTTGAGTCCTAAATTCACAGCCTTTACGTGAATCGAGTAATATTACGTATTATAATATTCCTTCAATTCTTGCATATATTTAAAAAAAGATTTCAATTTTAAATAAGTCCTGCCCGTGCTAAATTAAAATCTTGGTTCCGGCCATGCTTTTACATGCATTTTTCGTTGCATGTCCACATTCATATATATTCGTGCAGCTGGTTACTGGTACCACCTAAAAATGAAAAATAACCTAGTTTGATCTGATGGTAAATTTGTAATTAAATGACAATTGAAGCCTATTTCCTATATTGCTCTCCTATATATTTGGAGGCCCCTGCTAACAAGAAAATCATTGAGGCGTTTCTTGTGTGACAAGTTTCCATATATTTTATTTTCCGTAGAATCATTATTTTTTTTCCCCTTAACGTAAAAAGAGAAGAAATGGCAACGGAGGTAGAGGGACAAGTGATCGGCTGCCACACCATTGAGGCCTGGAATGAACAGATTGCGAAGGGGAATGATTCCAAGAGTTTGGTAAATTTGTTTCCTTATTTTTAATTTTTTAGGTAATTTTTTCAGATTCATTGTGGGTGGATTTCGACTTTTATTTTATGGGTTTGCTTTATTGGTGGATTTCAGATTCATAATTTATTTGCGTTTTTGCATTACTGTATACGATCTTTTCTAATTTCTTCTTCTTCATTTATTTTTAATTTTATTTTTTATTTTTGCATTGGTTTGAATAAACGGTAACGTTTTTTCTTTGATCTGATTGGAGTTTCGTTGGATCAGCTTGTTGCATTTGCCTGACGTGCAATTTTTTCTGATTGAGGCGATATTAGATGTAATCGAATTCGTAAACATTTTTGAACTATATTATATTGGTGATTGAACTTGGTTTCAATTAAACCTGATATATTTGAAGCATGAATTTTTCCTTTCTGTTTTATATTTGAGGGTGAATGTCATTTCATTTTTCCTGGATATTTGATTTCCATTTGTAGTTCGATTTGGGTTGATTTTATTCTGAACAAAAAATTAAATAGAATATATTCGAACTGCAGATTCAGTGTATTTCTTTTTGTTTTATTCAATAGTGACCTTAAACTTCAAATTAGTCTCTCCCCGGCACTTGCTCAATTGCTTCTGTTGCAGATAGTTGTAGATTTCACTGCTTCATGGTGTGGACCTTGTCGTTTCATTGCTCCATTCTTTGCAGAGCTGGCTAAGAAATTGCCCACCGTTACCTTTTTGAAGGTGGATGTGGACGAGTTGAAGGTCAAAACATTAAAATCTTGTTTATTATGCCGTTTGATACTATTCAATATCGCAAAAATCAAACATGTTTTTGCTATTGTATTGCAGTCGGTTGCTACTGATTGGGCAGTAGAGGCGATGCCAACCTTTATGTTTCTCAAAGAAGGTAAGATTGTGGACAAGGTTGTTGGGGCCAAGAAAGAAGAACTGCAGCAGGCTATTGCTAAACACATAAAAACTGCATAATGTCTATCTTATAACCAGTAGGCTATAAACCTATATTATGTTTTTAATTTGTCTTCTTTAGACCAAAGTTTTAACCAAGTCTTCTACTCTTGGTTTGAATAAATATTGAAGTACTATATAGCTTGCCTCTCTACCAGTTTTGCTGTTTCTCCCTCGTCCAAAATTCATGCATGTATAACTCTGTTCTGAGATTCTGCTTTTAGTCGTGGTTAACATTCAATATCAAATATTGATGGGCCTAATACTTTGGATCTTTCAATAAATCATTAATTTTCAATAAGAATTACAATCCTTTGAAGATACAGAAATTACTGGGGATGAAATACAGAAATTCTAGTTAATCTTCACCAACTGCACAAAACAGAGATAATCAAGGGGAAACTTCACACTAGGATCCATTCCTACCATGAAACCTATTCAGGGTTTTTACATCCCTTGACAACACAATCAAGCTAACATTCAAACAATCAACTCAACAATAGAAATTGCAGCAATCCCGTTTCACATTTCCTGTTAAAATGGAAAACAGACCCAGGTCGAGATCCATAATGGAACTCCGTTTGGGATCCCTTGAATCTACAAACTGAACTATCTAAAGCATAACAATGTAGGGGGGTATCCTTGGGCACCCCTATAACTTAGCAATACCTAAACTTTGCTCAATAAGTGCACTCGTAAATCTAACATACTTTCCTGTCTTTACAGTTTATTCTCTTTCTCACTTCTTTTCGTCTTTCTTTAGCTTTTAGTGTGCATGTTAAGTCAAAGGAGCGCATATTGCTTCTACTGATAACCGTTTTAACACGTTGGGGCATGGATCTTGCCCAAAGTTACTATTTGATATGGCTACTGTGCANTTCTGTGCAATCAGTGAACCCTGCATCCAGTCAACTGCAGAAATACCATTTGGAGAGTTGAGGTTCATGGCCTCTCCCTTAAGACCAACCTGCTTAGGACATTTTCATGAGAATATTTTCGAAACCAATATTGATCTCTTGGTAATAGAAATGTATGATAAACAACCTGGTAGTTCCATTTTGCCCAGGACAGGTCCCATTTTCCCTGGTCAAGTCCATGCAGCGCAACTGGACCCAATACGCCAGTGTTCCATTGCTCGTAATGCCCTCCAACATTCTTTAATGAAGATCAATAAAGAATATCAGAAAGAATTTTTAGCCAAAGTACCAAGGGAAAGGACATTCTGAATTCTGAATGAATTTATGAACTCAGATGTTCAGGTGGAATTTTTTTCCGAGGAAACCACATTTAAATGCATTTCCCATTCGTATCTTTTAAAGTTTCATAAGGCGATGCTAAAATATACAAGACTGGAACTGAGTTCAAGTAAGAAGAAACTTCCGCATACTAGATAAATAAATTTCAGTAATATACAATAAATGCCTTTGTTACCGATGCTGACACCACCACCCCGCACTACACACACACACAAAAAAAGGGAAATAGTTTATTCTCAGGAAATTTCGCGAAGTAACTAATTTCTGTCACTCTGTTTGGTTGCGCTGTACAATTCCTCTGGAAGATAGCAACAGTAACAATGCAATTACATTTTTTGCAATCACAATAGACGATGTCGATTTTGATATCTCCACATTCTAACTTATTCTAATGGGACTTGCTTTATATATATATATATATATATAACCATCAAAGTCCTCCATCCCTTAATTTATCCTCCATTGTCACTTCCTCCAAATATATCTCATTGCATAACTTATCTGTTCTAGTCTGGCATCACACTATTCTTAAAATCCTGTTTTTTCTTTATTCATCTTATATTTTGTCCTTCAGTGGCCTGCGGAGAAATACTAGGCATCCCAAAAAAAAAAGGACTAAATAATCATTATGAAGAAATTGCCTTTTCACATTATCAATATCTTTCTATCATCCCTGTATTGTTTCTCCATTTTATCCAACTTGCTTCAATTCTAACCCTTTTGAAGTCCTTCCTCTTATATAATTGAACTTAAATACCAAAACTGTAACTTTTTGGGATAACATGATATCCTCTAAAGTGACTTCGAAAGCTTGATTTTATATTTTAAAGGCATTAAAAGCTACTTAAACATTGATTATCCATAAGCTTTTGTAGAGCTCTTCAAAATACAACTTCAGACTTGCCCAGTTAGAATTATACACCTCTCGCTGTAGGTGTCCTATTTTCATCTTTTGCTTGTTTCAGTTCATAATTTTTGCTTTGACTGCTCTTCCTTCGAATTGTTTTAAATTTGAATTTTCTAGGTTCCATGTAATCAAATCATTTTCAATATATATGATCAATTTGTCATACATATATCCACAAACTATAAACAAGATTAGAGAAAGGGGTCGGAACTAACTGGCAGTCCAACAGCAACACTGAGTAATGCAATTTTATTTGATCCAGCACGTAGGTCGACCTTCCCTTTAAATGCAAACCTCCTGCTTTGCCTGGTCCCATAAGCAGAACCTAGACAACATATGAGTAGCAGTAGACATTAGCTTAAACAAGAAAATGGGCAATCCATTATCATCTTAAACCCTGAGAATAGATTGGACTGGCAACCTGAAAGTTGTCCATTGACAAACACATGCAGAGCATGTCCTGTTGATTGAACAATAATTGTTGGATGATCCCCTCCATGCAGGAAGGACTCGGATGAACCAATATCAACACTGTTAACTCATTGAAAAACATGTGATGACTGTTATATAATGCTATAATTTTTGCAGTAGCATATCAATGTCATGCAGATAAATCCAGGTCAAGTAATCTCGATAAATTTTGCTTTAACCACCTTATGGTGATTGTGATAGAAGACAAGCAGACTGTTGAATAGTGCTAGGACAACGATAAATGTATTCTAGGCAAATTAGTTGCAAAGTTTAGAGATAATTTGCACAGAGAGTAAACAAAGTCGCAAGAAGAGAAAATTTATGAAAAAGCAGGAGATTCAATCCATGGAGACAAAATAATTGGGATCAAATGCATAGCAAGTTGAAAGACACACAGCTGGCTCGGTTCAACTCACCTAGTTGTGTACCATAGATAATCACTAGTATCTCTCGTGACATTTATCTGCTCCAAGAGGCCGTGAACAGAGAATGATGAGCTGTCATCAGAAGACGACAAATCTTCGTTAAATGTTTCCCATGAGAACATCTTGGCATTACTTGGTAGCATTTCCATTTGTGATGTTTGAACTCCAACCTGTTGAAGAGAAATGCAAACTAATTATTGTTTCAGGGAGAGAGATAATATTAAAGAACAGTGGCATGACGTGTTGAGGAATCCTGCTTTTGAAAATTTGCCTAAACTATAGGGTTTTAGACAGTATACTCAACCGGTTAAATACACAGTGGTAACTTAACTTTTATTAGTGACATTTCATACTAATCATTGAACACCAATGTTTTCAAATAAGTCACTAATATTAAACTATTGCAATTTAGTGACTCCGTCAATGTAGTTGACTAGCGGAGGAGTTGACCTGGCAGTCTACTTGTTTTACAAACTAATCTGTCACGTCAGCCTTTCCAGTCAAACTAATGGACATGAAAAGAATGATCAAATTGTAATAAAACTCCAAGTTCAGTGACCGGCATGAAATTTCACTAAAAGTTCAGTGAACATCAGTTTTGTGCTTTTAACCCATAATCAATTTATTTGCTAACATTTACATACTTTGGCTGTATTGAAGACTACGTTCCTGCAGTCTGGAAGGATGCTGATTGACCAAGGAGGAAGATTGTAGTGCATGTTATTGAACAACACTCTCACTGCAGATTTTGTATCATAATTTGCAAGAAATGCTGCACAACCTCCTGATTCTGAAGAGTATACATGAGCCTGGGAAATGTCGGGCGTTCAAGTAAGAAAGTGCTATAAAATCTAACTGCATTAGCTAATAATTTCAAGGGCAAAAGCAGAAACCTGTTGAAGGCTTCCTAAAGAAGTCACAGTAGGATCAGCTGAAACTAGAGCTTTCTCACATAGTTTAATAGATCTGTGGAGCTCTTTCAAGTGCCCATATTTTGGTTGCCGGACCAAACCTATCGAGTCAAAAAGGCATAGCGTGTAGTCAGTTATTAGGTAAAAAACAATTTAATAGTGGAGACGTGATCTTATATTTAAGTTATTATTAATTACCTTTCTTCAACATCAGAAAGTCGCTATCTCCTGTATCTAATAACTATGACTTTTTTCGAAAGAGAAAGTCTCGTACAAAATGCTATACACACACACTCACATTTATAGCAGTATAGGCCTATCGTTCATTTCGAAGTTTTACTGCATTTCATCAAATCATTTCGAATACACATTTTAGTTAGGTGTCTCTCCCTTCATCCCTTCTACACCTTAAAAATAGTCTCTTTGTTCCCTCTAAGTGCATAGTTGCTATTTAATTGAAAACATGAGAAAATGTTGAAACCCATATTTCTGTACATAGACAAGAAGATTCTTTTAGTGTATAGTGGCTAATTAATTAAAAAGATGAAATAATGTTGTCTAACAAAGAATTGCTTGGTCTTGGAAGTGAGACTAAAGTTGGAGATTTTGATCATAATGACACGTGGCTTATGAACTTAACAGCAAAAGGACAATTGATGGAAATAAACACATTTGTTGTTCTGCTATGTGATGAAGATGCTTAAGAAATTTATCTTTCTTATCAATTACGGAAAATTTGAAGGAAAATTTCCAAAAGATACCGTGTAAAACTCAAATCCTTTACAATTTGAAGTATTTATAATCGAGTGTACGATCCACTTTCAAACTACGTATTTTCCATGTTTGAATGTATGTGATTTGTTATAGATATTTCCATATATTGGCCTCAGAGAAAGAATGTTTTCCATACATTCAGACTAATAACATTTTACAACAGTGAGTGCAAAATAAAGCAGTATAGATTAATAATCACCATATTCATCAAGTGGGGCATCATAATCATAGCTTGTAGTAATGAAAGGGCCTCCAGCAGAGCGACCAAAATTGGTGCCTCCATGATACTGTATCAATAGCCACATTAAACATGTTTTTTTTTTTTTAAATATGAAATATGTATACAAAATAATAAAAAATGATTGAAATTGGAAACAAACCATGTAGTAATTTACAAATGAGCCTCCCTTTTGTATGAATCTGGCCACAGCAAATGCTAAATCCTGAACTGGCCTCTGGTGAATTGGACCACCAAACTCTGTGAACCTAATTGTTTGGTTAAGGATATGATTAGAAGGCACCCAGTAACTAATTTTACCGCAGTAATTAGAGAAACCCAAAGTTCACTTACCAACCACTCCAAGCCTCAGTCCAAATTATTGGTTTATATGGTTTGTTGGGGGAGAACGAGTCACAATAGAAGCCATTGCATGTGTTAATCTGGCAGCAGTGAAGAGTTATCAAGGGCAATAGAACATATTCTCACACTCAAGTTAAATTTAAAGTCCAACTTTTCAAGACAGAATTAGTTTTCTCTCAGGTTTTGGTTCTTAGCAATGAAACGTTGAAGCAATTGTTCCTAACCACAATTAATGCTAGTCTAAATCTTGTTATATATGAACAATAGGATACTGAATTTGAAAGGCTTAAGAAATTCCAATGAAACAATACTAAGGGCCCGTTTGGGATGGCTTTTGAAAAATCAAAAGGAGCTTTTGAGAGCCAAAAGCCGCTTTTGGACCGTTTGGCTATTTTTGTACACTTCCGGAATGGGAAGTGATTTTAAATATTAATTTTCAAACAAAAATTAAAATAGCTTTCTCCAAAAGCTCTTCTACAAGAAGCAAAAGCCAAAGTAAAAGCCGTGCCAAACGGGCCCTAAGTGAAACAATGTAAGAGCTTGTTTGGTAGAGGTTTTAATCCAATTAAAATCAATTTTTTGACCGTTATTTCACTATTAAAGCCATCATTTTTGAATTATTCTCTCACAGGTAGGATACACTTTATCTCTAACGATTAAAAAATCAATTATCATAATCCTACCAAACAAGTACTAAGGCAGCAAATGTATACTCTTGATCTACTGAGTGTAAAATGTGCTCACCACGGGATCTGGGGCATCATCTTCCTTGCACATCACCCATGGCACCCCAGTATCCAATCCAACTGCCATGTTTGCAGCCCAAGTTACGTACTGATGGCCAGGAGCACCAAGAGCCTTGGCTTGTGACCCATACTCATTCTCGATCTGTGCAACAATATTTATGGCAGGTTTTGTAAGGAGGAATGGCTAGGATAGTAGAAGCTAAAATTTTATTGCTCTTACTAGCCGGTCTTGTTGAGTACTACATACCAAACATACACTTGGTGGACAGTAATACATAATTAAGTTAATTCAGAGCAGGAGAGATGCTAAAACAAATACATTCGCGTGTGATTCGACAGTAGCCCAAAGCAGCAGATAATGAAATTGTAGAATGCAACAAAATGTAAGTGCCCAAGGCCCCAAAATCACACCTGGGAGAGTATAATGGGGCCACCCTGAGACTCAAATAGATGTTTGCTCTTCATCAGACTAACAATTTTCTCAGTGAACCCTTTCATAGCGATCTGCAAACCATAAAATAAAATAAAATTTTCACAGATAGGTTATACTAACCAAAAAACACAACTCAGAACAAAGATTTGTTCAATTGTAGAGCAATTCCATTAAGTGGATTTCTTAAGTTGCTTAAAGCAGATGCATTTGCTGAAGGAACTAGAAAAGGGAGGGAAATTTTTACCTTGAAAGGCTCATTGTCTGTCCTGAAGCTAATTCCTGGTACATATTTCAGCCAAACTGGAAATCCTCTACAAATAATAAAAGTGGAGAAAAAAAAGTTGAATTTTTTTTTCATATCATATAACTTTTTGCGATTAGACACTGGCAAAAGCACAGAAATTATTACCCAAAATTCCACTCTGCACAAACATAAGGCCCAATTCGAAGATGAGCATATAGACCTGCTTTCTGGATGGTCTTTATGAATCTCACAATATCATATTTCCCTTCAAAATTGTACTGAAGAACCCACAAAGAGCATACCCAAAAATACAGACATTCAGCTCAAAAAAGGCGATAAAAAAGAAGGAAGCAAAAAACAGTTTAATTGAAAAGTAAATCCAAGAGAAAGTGAAGTACATTGCCAGGAGAAGGCTCATGAACATTCCAAAATACATAAGTTTCAATCACATCTACGCCTCCTTCTTTGGCCTTGTTTATCAGATCTTCCCACATCTAAAAGACACAACATTTCATTGACAAAATGAAGTCAAATTCTTCAAGAAAAAGCAAGTAAAAAGACAGATTTCTCTTTTAAAAAATAAAATAAATAAATTTAGTACCTCAGGAGTGCTTCTTGGGTAATGTATGGAACCAGAAATGAGAATTCTTCTTTGCCCATTGATAACTATAGCCTTTCTATCATATGTCACACGACATTGTACCAGTCCACATCCAACAGACACCGACAAGAAGATGAACAAAACCCACTTAGAAACTGAGTTCATTTTCATATTTCTCTCTCAAATTTGCCTTAAGAACATATATAAATCGTCAAATTGAAAACCCAAATTCAGATGAATGTGTGTGTGTGTGTGTGTGTGTCGGCTAGTTGGCGTGTGGGAAAACTGAACAAGTGTGCATTTCTACTTTGGAGTAAGAGCAGCAGTTTTCGAGAAAAATATGTGAGTATATATACACACACAATTGTATGTATAGCTTTGAATTACCGCTTGACTTAAGTACAAACAAGAAAAGCAACATGGTGCAAGTAATTTTTTTTTTTTAATTCTTTTTGTTGAGTACAGAAAATAAAATTAAGAAAGACACAAACAGATAAACAAACGAGTGTAAATCTAAGGAGCTTCACCTTTATTAAAAAATAGGGTTGAACCACAACCTTAAGGGTCCTCATCGTCTCGTCCCTAAAGTTTTGTGAGGGAGGTAAATCTCGAAATGTGTCCCAACAGACCACGGAACCAAAGCTGTCTGTACACTGCGCCTACAAGGAGTCCAATTTCATATCTCGGGAATCGAATTCTCATACTGCGACTACCAGCAAGGCGTGAAATAACCCCACTCTTATCATTTACACCACTAGACTATGCCTCGAGGGGCGAAGCTTCACCTTTATTAGTAATATGTGCGATTACTCATTGTTTAATGTTAAGCTCCCGTTTAGTACCTTTTTTTTTTAAAATGCATTTTTCTCTCTCTTCATTTCAACCACACATTCTTTATTAAAATAATATAACATGTAAATCAAAAATTTTTCTTTATTTTTCAATCACATATTTCCCATCAATTTATCATTCAAAAATATATTTTTACATAAAAATATCTCCCAAACGGGCTCTAAGTCTGTTTGAAGTCTCAATTCCAGGATTCTTGCTCAGTTGCGAGGTATAAATCTAGCTGTGTTTAAAAGTAATTAGGTCCACTTTTGATAGAAGTTTTTCAAAATAGATTTTGTGAAAATATTTTTTTTTTTTAAATATGTGGTTAAAAGTAGAGAAAAATTATGGACGTACAAAATATTTTAGAAAAATAATGTATGATTAAAAATAAAATTTAAAAAATGAGGATCAAATAAGGCAGTGGAAGAAAAAGTTAAAACTAGTACATTTAGGTCATCTTCCCCTATCTAACATCTACATAGGACTTAATAATAACAAATTCTTTTGCCTTTTACAATTAATTTAAAGTTAAGGTCAATAATTAATTTTTAATTATTAATTTTACGAGATTAAAATTTTTATCGACTTTTCAAGCATATATTTCATTCATTTTTATCAAAATTTACTAAAAATTCATGGTTTTTAAGCAAAACCAAACATTGGAATTTGGATTAATGTGGTTTTGTATTTGTGTTTTGAAGTTGACAGGGAGTTGGTGAGACTAGATTAGGATTTCTTAGCTGTCACTACGATTGGTCAAAACTTCACACGTGGTTTTCTGATAATGAAGAATCTCCCAAGAATGGAAAAAAACAATTATTTTTGCATTTTAATCACTTAATTTTGTGTAATATCTTAGGCTAAATAAACTAGTTGTAGTCATGTAAATTTTATTTAACAGTGAGATTAACTTAATTAGGGGTTCTTAAGTTTTAAAAAAATTGCATGTTACCTTTATATTTTGATTTAAACATATTAAATCTTCATATTCAGTGTCTACGTGACTAATTTAAATGTATATCAGTTAACTATTTATCAAATGTTTAGTACAAATACTAAATGGAAAATATGAATTTTCAAGTTACAATGAAGAAATTAATTTTTGTAAATTCTATTTTTAAACAAATATGAAATCTTGTCGGCCATATTAGCTCAGCTCCACAGGACTAGAGTCATGGACTGAGCGAGGTTCGTCCAACAAGCCTAACCAAGCTTGAGTGGCCAGTTAACTTTATTTTTTGCCACCCTACAAGCACATAATCTCCCCTATTAGGGATGGACATTTTTATATTGGAATTGAACCTTCCGAATCGGAGGTTATGGTTCGGTTCCTGAAAAAAAAAGGAATCGAAAATGGATTGGGTCCAATTATTTTGTTCTTGAATTGTAATCGTGGATACTCAACTCTGAAATCGAATTTGTTCGATTTATTTACCTTGAAGCAATGACTCGATGAGATAGTAGGAGGGAATGAAATTGTGTTGTTTTTTAGTTTTTGATTTGCTCTTTAGTGATGCAACTTAGTGTTTATACCCAGTTCAATACTGGATGCTATTTGATGGTATATTTACTCGGCTAGATATTGGATGCTATTTGATGTCATATTTCGTGACATATTGAAAAGATAATTAGTATTTTCAACTCACGATTTAATAAAAATAAAATAAGTATAGAATGGTACATTCAAAAAATACCTAAAGTATGATGGGTGATTTCGTATATTAAAATATTCGGACAAACTCACCCGACCATGAGGTCTATACCCCTATGGCCAATTTAATGTATTAAGCACTCCGACGACACGCATAAAATTTGTTTGATTAATGAGAGAGATATTTGCCTAATAAAATGTATGATGTACCCTATATATGTACTAATTTAATCAATCTAAAACTGAAAAGTAGTAATACATTTGGTGCTTTTATGTAGAGTGGAAATGCTTTTGGGCAAAAAAACAAGACACTCCCACTACGACTTCCATTCCATGTGAACTTTGGCCTTCTCTTTTATGTCTGTCCCTTTCTTTTCTTATTTTTTTCATAAATCTTGTGTCCTGCCTACTTCTACGTCTCAGAATTAATGTCATCTTCCACTTTTGCCATACTCTTCACGGGTCTACGTTAAATCTCCCACCCATTCTTACATGGCTTTAGTAACCACTCGATGCTCAGATCTAAAAATACGTATATCTATACTTGTGTCTAGAGAAGAGCAAGTATGATCTCTTATCTTCAGTGGAAAGAATAAAAACTTATCACTGTTGATATGGCAATAAAATTTCAATAGTAGAAAGTGTTTATCATATTCAATGGAGACGTGAAATCAATTTCATAGTAAAAAAAAACTATTAACCGGGCCAATTTTTGCTAATAATATATACCATACAAATGCTACAAAGATAAGTGGACAAGAAAAATATTGTGCTACATGTACATCACCACTTACAGATTTGTTTATCATGAGAAAACGTAACAAATATGATTGAATCAAAATTTCACAAACCAGCTCGAAATATAAATTGCACCTACTTTCTTTTTGCCACATCACCGGTCGATAAAAAAATTTGTAAATAATAATGTAATGCAATCATTAGTTTGTAGTTGAAAAAAGAAAACAAGAACACAAGTCAAGTTTTACATAATTAATAATTTATATGAAAAGGAGGATTATATTAGTTCACTTTAACATAATTAATTATCCGTTGAAAGGGCATTTCATCAGTGAAGAAAACGGTCATTTAATTTACTTTAAAAATTGTCTAAATTGGGCCTTTTTCTTTCCCCCCTTACGCCTTTTAAGGGTTCAACGGCGCGATAGACGGGGAATTGGTGGCAGCCATTATTGTTATCTTAACAACTCCCACAAAAACGGATCTTGTAGTTTAAATGGCCTACTAAACTATATTTTCTACCCTATCTTCAAATTAAAAAAAAAAAAAATCATTTTGATAAGAATAATGTTATTCGCAGTGAAGACTATCGACAGTCGCCCTATGTGACGTACATTTGGCAGTTTTTCATTTGATGTATAATTCAAAAAATAACTACCTTATCAATGTATCAAATACCAAATTGTCAAGTGTATGCCACATAGGACGATTACTGACAATTTTCACTACAAATGGCATTACTCTTTTGATAAATAACTATTAATAAACAAAAACAAGTTACAATCTTATATTGTTGATATATACATCAATAATATTTAAATATCACTTAGCTTCTTAGTTGAAATCCAAATATCGAATAATTACTTTATTTAAGAATTTAAGTTAAGACAACCGAGATATTATATTTTAAATTGATTCGGGGGCTCGATTTATTTATATTCTATTCAATTACGTAAAAGAAAATTTAAATATTGAATAGTATGGATCGGCAACATTGACAACATTATCGATTAGGTGAGTCCATTATGACCCTGTGTTAGTCTACAAAAAAGTGCATAATAATTAACTTCTGTAAATTCATGTTTTGTGTTTGCCTTAACGAAATTATATAAATTTTTCTTCGTTTTTCTTATTCATATATTATTTATATAAATAACAAGATAAATTAAATATATTTAATTCTATGATCTTTTCTCGTGGCAAAGAAAAATTAAAAGTTGAAATTCTAAAAATGCATGATATCAAATTAAAATCTCATAAAAATATAAATGCGTCTTACTTTGTTATGTGTTATTATTATACATATCAAATTAGATGTATGACACGTATTTTGTCCACGTGGCATGGATGATTCATGAATATACATTAAAACGGTCATTTCTTTTGAAAATGAAATCGTTTAAAACGTACGAACTTGTTCAAACGAACAAAAATTCAAAAAGCATGGTCGTAGTCCCTTCAAATAAAAAGGAATATATTTTGATAGAGAAAGTTGATGAGGCCATATTTTGGACAAGATGGAAAGATTTTAGGTTAATTTTAAATAATATTTATACATTGGATCTTTTTCGGTGTCATCATTTTGTGAAGGTGAAGTGTCTTTGGCAACATAATAGAATAGCCACCACTATCTTTCGCATTCATTGTGTTTGTTGTGATTAGTCCTTTGCATGAGACAAGTATAACTTGCATCATTGCATATGCAAATTAATACTCTCTTCACACACCTCCACATCACCATATTAACACACACGTATATTTATATATCAAGCACTTGTTTAATACCCTTTAATTTATTTTAAATTTTGTTACGAGATTATTTTCAATAACATATTTACACAATCGAATATTCTATCCATAAACTTAACTTTTTTTCTACTTTTTAATCACATTTTCTCCTAAAAATACTATTCAAAACTCTCTCTCTCTCTCTCTCTCTCTCTCTCGTTTAATGGGAACTAAACAGGGGCCAAATTACCTTATCATGATTGATTAAGAATTGTTACTTTCACAATCAGGATGAAGGATTCAAATATTGACACATCCCCTCTATCATGAAAAAACACAATATATATAGTAATTAGTAAAAATATTTAAAGTTTTGATTCAGCAT